ACACACACACACACATACGCACACACACACACGCATACACACACATACACACACACACACACACACACACACAAATCTATGGGATGAATATGTATTTGCAGATACATTCTATTTTGTTCATAAAGCACACAATTTATAGGCTGTCAGGCAATATGGCGTTTATAAATTCCTACTTTAGAAATAAAACCAGTCTGACTCCAAACCAAAATACACACAGATTCTAGACAAAGCCTCACACATAACATGCATTGCCTGGCCTAAAATGTCACCTCTTCTTTACACTGATAAAACCTTTTGTTCTCTCAGGACAGTGACTTGAAAAGAATTTGGGGATTTGCATATATATACTAATCAATTAAATCCTTCTAACTGATTAAAGATTTAACACATCTTAGGATTGTTTGATCCATCCACATCAGTGGTATGACCCTTTAATCTTTTACTTATGAATTCTGTGTCTGATCCTACCTCTCTCACTAGCTCCTGAAGAAGGAGCAAGACTCCGAAAGCTTGTGTTTTCAAATAAACCTGTTGGGCTATAACCTGGTGCCATGTGATTTCTGACCTTGAATGGGAAAGGTTTGGAAGGATATGGGGCTAGAGCAGGCAGTTGGGACGAGTTTAGTTTGGGATTATAGTTGGCACAGACTGGTCGGGCCGAAGGATCTGTTTCCCTGCTGTTCGACTACAACTGCATGAGGATTGGGACATCTCAAACATTTTCACAGTGACATCTTGGCGCGAAAGAAAAACAATTGGTCGTTTTTTTTTTGTTTATCTTACACGAGAGGGTCGTGAATGAGTAACACTTGCAGAGATTCCCAAATTTCGCTATGTTCCCAGTCGCTCATTGGACGTGCTTTAAACTTTAGGGCTCAGCTCTCTCCTCAGATGTCCACAGTGGGGTCCCAAAGAAGCCAAAATTTAAAACAAAAGGACACCCATTTGGAAGTCTGTTTGAGGCATTTGCTTGTGATGCTGTACCGTGCGGGGAATCGCGAGAGTGATTTGTGAACTCCAAATGCCTGCTGTGGGTTTATTCAAACTCCTTAAAGAGGTGCAGAAATTCAGTAGCACCCGTACAGCGAGATAATGTCTCAACTTCGGTGACGTTTCTTCAGAGTGTTTTCCATCCTCCACGGTCCTTTCCTCTGGTAAAATCTGGCAGCATCCCGCAGCTTAATTGCTACTTGCTTCTAAATTATTACTTGCTTTTAAATTATTACTCGCCTCTAAATTATCACTGGCCTCTAAATTGTCACTCGCCACTGAATTATTGCATGCTTCTAAAATATTACTTGCTTCTAAATTATTACTTGCCCCTAAATTATTACCTGCTTCTAAATTATTACTCATCTCTAAATTAGTACTTGCTTCTAAATTATTACTCGCTTCTAAATTATTACTCATCTCTAAATTAGTACTTGCTTCTAAATTATTACTCGCTTCTAAATTATTACTCATCTCTAAATTAGTACTTGCTTCTAAATTATTGCTCACCTCTAAATTATTACTTGCCTCTCAATTATTACACACCTCTAAATTATTGCTCGCCTCTAAATTATTGCTCACTGCTAAATTATTACTCGCCTCTAAATTATTACTCGCCTCTAATGCTATTGCGTGGCCAGTCAGAAAAGAGTGGATCCGGCCCTGTGTTGGCATGCTCCCAGCTGCCACACCTCTTGATCCTGGCAGTGTTTGCTCCCAGAATTCCACAGTTCGGAGCCGCTCACCTGTCACCACCGGATAGGCCTGAGGTACGCCCCTGCCAACCTGGGTGGACGGAGGGGTCAAGTCTTGCTTGTCTTCTTCGATTCCGCCGCTCAGTGATGACAGTGGGTACAGAGGGGCCTACGACAAGGAACAGAGAATGCCGTGAGATTGTGGTTTGGAGAGACGCGCCAGTTTTCCCGCTTCTTGAGGCCCTCAAGGTTCGGGTTTCACCAGGGAGGCTCCGAGTTGTTGGCCAATGGCCAACCCCTCCATTCCTGGGGATGTGGGACATTGGCAGAACCAGTGCCCGGGCATTAGAGCCTGCGCATTCCTGGTCTGAGTAATGGGCACTGTGAGACTCCCCAAACTGCCAAGAAGAGAAATACATCCCCCCGCTTTACTTCACCAATACGATTTCAGGAAGGGAATGTGCCATCCTTACCCGGATTGACAGTGACTCCAGACCCACAGCAATGGGGTTGGCACCTGCTATTAACGCTGTTGGCTCTTGTACTGCCCCTGAAATGAGGGTCAGGCCAATAGCAATGAGAGACGGGGCCTTGCCAAAGACGCCAACATGAAATAATTTGATTTTTTGAAGGGATTTCATTTTACAAAGTCTTTCATACCCATCTGATTGCCTCGTTGGCAATTCCGATGGCATCTGATTGCGTTGTACTGACAGTAGTGAGGTGGTTGTCTGTGACCAGCATGAAAGTGATGGGGCGAAGGGTGTTTTCCTGTGCTGTAGACCTCTATGACCTATCAGTCCAATCTCTCTATTTTAAAGATTTAACCCCCTGTAACACTCCCTTACCATCAATCGTCCGTTGTAATCAATAGAAGCGACAAGCCACACCCCAGTTATTGTACCTTCTTAGTTAAACCTGCGTTAAATTAAGCGAAGGGTCCAGACCCGAAACGACAACTTTCCTGCTCCTCTGACGCTGCCTGACCTGCTGTGTTCCTCCAGCGCCGCACAGCATCAGCACTAAATTAATCTGCAGGGCTGACATTTTGTCAAGAATCTTTTGGAATTCATCCTGGATACCAGGCCCAAGTATTCCTCAATATTCTGGGCTGTTTGTAATAGAGTTGTAGAAGTCTACAGCTCAGAAAAGAACCCCTTCGGCCCATCGAGTCTGTGCCAACCACCTCACTATTCCACTCCCCGACTCCCAGCGCTTGGCCCACAGCCTTGGCATGGCAAGGGTGCCTTTACATCCTTCTTCAATGGGATGGGGGTTCCTGCCTCTCCCACCCTTACAGGCAGTGAGTTCCATATTCCCCACCAGCCTCTGGGGGAAAACATTTTCCCTAATGTCCCCCTCTAAACTTCCTGTCCCTTCCCTTAAATCTATGCTCCTGTGGTCCACAAGGATTAGTGCTGGGCCCCCTGCTTTTTGTCATTTATGTAAATGATTTGGATCTGAATACAGGAGGTATGGTTAGTAAGTTTGCAGGTGACACGAAAATTGGAGGTTGTCGTGAACAGCGAAGGTTACCTCAGAGTACAACGGGACCTCGATCAGATGGGCCAATGGGCCGAGGAACGGCAGATGGAGTTTAATTTAGATAAATGTGAGGGGCTGCATTTTGGGAAAGGCACATCAGGGCAGGACTTATACACTTAATGGTAAGGTCCTGGGGAGTGTTGCTGAACAAAGAGACCTTGGAAATGCAGGTACATAGTTCCTTGAAAGTGGAGTTGCAGGTAGACAGGGCGGTGAAGAAGGTGTTTGGTACACTTGCCTTTATTGGTCAGTGCATTGAGTATAGGAGTTGGGAGGGTCATGTTGCGGCTGTACAGGACATTGGTTAGGGCCCCTTTTGGAATATTGCGTTTAATTCTGGTCTCCCAGAAGGATGTTGTGAAACTTGAAAGGGTTCAGAAAAGATTCACAAGGATGTGGCCAGAGTTGGAGGGTTTGAGCTACAGGGATAGATTGGGGTTATTTTCCCTGGAGTGTCAGAGTGTCAGAAACTTCCTGCCCCTTCCCTTAAATCTGCTTCCCCCCCCAGGTATTAATGCCCCTACCGAGGGGAAAAGTTCCTTCTTGTCTACCCTAGCGATACTCCTTATCGTTTTATCCATCTCAATCATGCCCCTCTCCTCTCAATCCCCTCTGCTCTAAGGAAAACAACGCCCCAATCTGTCCTAATCTCTCGTCAAGAACTGAAACTCTCCAGCCCCGAAAAGGTAACATCCTGGTAAATCTCCCTCTGCCCCTTCTCCTAGTGCTATCACATACCTCCTATAATGTGGATTCCAGAACTTGCACACAATACTCTCGCTGTGTGGCTTAACCGACGTTTTATATACAGTTCCCAGCCAAACCTTCCTGCTCCTAAACTCTACACCTTAAACTCGCTCACCTGGTCGCCTTTGGCGTCGGAGTAGGCCTCGGCGTAGCGCGGCCTGTCGAAGGTAGGCTCCGGGCCCTCGAGTTGCCGGGGGTAGGCCTCCGTCCTCATCTGCTTGCGGGGAGCGCCGCCTTTCGCCTCGCAGCTGTCCTGCGCACCTGCGAGGAAAGGGAGCAAAACTCTATGGTTAGCCACGCTGCCCACGAGGGGAGGTGGAGGGGACCCAAACCCGCCGATGCGCAGCCTGCACCGTTTCAGCAGACCGCGTCCCAGCTTAAGCGCCGCGCGCGTTTTCAGGCCCTTGTGGCGTCCCCGTCCAAAAAGGGACCAGGCCAAAGGATCTTGGGCCCGTGCTTAATGTCAAGTGCCAATCCACATCTTAAGACTTGAATCTGAATTCCACTGCTCCCCGCGCACCCCCCGTGACAGACCTGCAACACAGAAAAACGCGCCTTTCCAAAAATAGGCCCAAAAGCTCTGTAAATGCGGTGTTTTTTGTTAACGGGAGCGTTGGAGCGCCAATAGAAATCTGTCAAATTGTCATTGGTACAATGGGTCATCAAAAGTCTTTTCCCCACAAATGGCAAACGACAAAAAGTGTTTTAAGGCGGTGTGGGTTCAGGTGGAGGGTGGGGACCAAAGTTTAAACGAGGTGTGCGAAGCAAGTTGTTTTTTTTTAACACAGAGGGTGGTAGGCGCCTGGAACCCATTGCCAGGGGAGATGGTGGACTCAGAGGGGCACCAGCCAAGTGTGGCACAGATTGGGAAGAGATCGAAGACACGGGGCTTGGCGAGTTAGAAATCGGGAAACGCTTCGAGAAGAACCAGGCCGTGAGGAGGTTTCGAACGAGGAGACGAGAAATTTGAGACGTCGCACAATTTGCGGCAATGTTGAAACATGTTGCCTGACTCCATTTGTAAATCAGAATCTGTCTACGTCAGGCTTAAATACACCTATATTTTTGTGTGTGGGGGTGTGGGTGGTAGAAAATTTGAAAGGTTGGAAAATCTGAAATTGGAAAAGAACATTTTGACCTTGAATGGGAATCAAAATTGTGCCTCTTAGTTCTAGACTCCCCCATGAGAGGAAACATGTTCTCAGCATCTACCTGTCAAGTCCCTTCAGAAAGCTGTATTTTTTTCAATAAAATCTTCCTTCTACCATCAACAGCTTGTCTCCTGCTTTCACCGTTTCACCCCAAGAACTGTATCCAACTCCTTCCTGAAAACATTCAGTGTTTTGTCCCCCGACCCTGTGGGAGAGAATTCCACAGGCTCTCCCCACCACTCTCTGGGTGAAGACATTTCTCCTCATCTCAGTCCCTACCCCATATCCTTAGACTGTGACCCTCCTGGATCTGCACCCCTCCCCGGTCATCGGGAACATCCTAACCCGATCCGGTCTCTCTCCATCCGTCAGTCCCAGGAATCAGACTGGGGAACCCTTCGCTGCTCGCCCTCCATCGCCAGAGCCCCCTCCCCTCAGATAAGGAGACCCCCAAAATCTCCCACACACACGATACTCCAGGGTGCGGTCTCTCCCTTTCCAATTGCAGAGAGACATCCCTGCTCCTGTACTCCGATCCTCTCGCCATGAAGGGGCCAACATCCTACTGGCAGAGTGGGGAATATTCCATCACACTCCTGACTTGTGCCTTGTCGATGGTGGGACAGGCTTTTGCGGGGGTGGGTGGTCAGGAGGGGAGTTACTCGTTGCAGGATTCCCAGCCTCTGACCTGCTCTCGTGGCCTCAGTAGTCATCTAGCAATTCCTGTTCAGATGGTTGGGCCTAGGACACTACCCCCTGAGGAACTCCTGCAGAAATGTCCTGGAGCTGAGATGACTGACCGCCAACAACCACCACCATCTTCCTATGTGTCAGGTATGACTCCAACCAGCGAAGAGTTTTCCCCCTGATGCCCACTGAGTCCAGTTTTGCTCGGGTTCCAAAATGCCACACTCAGTCAAATGCCTTGATGTCAAGGGTTGTCACTCTCATAGAGTCGTATGACACGGAAACGGGCCCTTTAGGCTAACCTGTCCATGCTGACCAAGTTTTCCAAATTAATCTAGTCCCGTTTGCCAGCATTTGGCCCATATCCCCCTAAACCCTTCCTATTCATGTACCCATCCCGATTCCTTTTAAATGTTGTCATTGTACCAGCCTCCACCACTACCTCTGGCAGCTCGTTCCATACACGCACCACCCTCTGTGTGAAAAAGTTGCCCCTCAGGTCCCCTTTTAAATCTTTCCCCTCTCAGCTTAAACCTATGCCCCTCTAGTTTTGGACTCCCCCACCCTGGGGAAAAGACCTTGGCTATTCACCCTATCCATGCCCCTCATGATTTTATAAACCTCTATAAGGTCACTCCCTCAGCCTCTGACGCTCCACTGAAAAATGTCCCAACCTATCCAGTCTCTTCCTGTAACTCAAACCTGCCATTCCCAATAATGTCCTGGTAAATCTCTTCTGAACCCTCTCCAGCTGAATAATATCTTTCCTATAACAGGGCGACCAGAACTGGACACAGTGCTCCAGAAGAGGCCTCACCAACGTCCTGTACAACCTCAAAATGACGTCCCCAACTCCTATACTCAAAGGTCTGAGCAATGAAGGCAAGCGTGCTAAACACCTTCTTAACCACCCTGTCTACATGTGACACAAACTTCAAAGAATTATGTACCTGAGCCCCCTAGGTCTCTCTGTTCTGCAACACTACTGTTAACCGCGTAATCTGGAATTCAGCTCTTTTGTCCATGTTTGAGCCAAGGCTGTAATGAGCAGCCTGCTGTTCCCCCTCACTGGCATCGAGAGGTCACAGTGGCCACAAGAAAGAGCCCACGGGGCAAAGCGGGCATGTCCAATGCTGCAAACGATGGGCACAATATGGTGACTGTGAAGGTCGTCTGTGCCCAGCTGGCATCCCAGTGCGAGTCAGGCCCCTGTCTGCCCCACGGAGCCCAATGCCACTGACCTCTGCCAACCTCTCCTGTTCCCCTCCCACCACGACCACCCATCACCCTTCAAGAGCACAGTGCGCCAGGACGGCATGGCCGGAGGGGTGACACACCTTCACCTGTTGCTGTGGCAAGCTCCCCCCCTCCCCCACCCCCACAGGCCATGGGGAAGGCACCAGGGCCACAGAGTGATGACGATGGGAGTTTGGACTGACAGGCGAGTGGACATGGCACGGGAACCGCGAGCGTGAGCAGGTTGGCGCTGACAGAGCAAGCTGGCATCCCCCGAGAAGCAGCCTGGACCAGTACAGGTGCTAGCCCCTGCCCACAAAGGAAGCGCCCACTTTTGCCTAAATGCCTCGTAGGTGAGCTGCCATCTTGGTAGTGGGAGTGTCGCATTGGGGGTGGGGGCTGGGGGAGGTGGGGGGGAATCCAGGAAAAAGTCAGATGCCAAATCTCCGAAGAGCTGTGGGGTCGTGCCCTGTAATGTCCTCCCCCTGGAGGTCAGATCAGACACACCCAACTTCTCATTCACTTCTGCCACTCGGACAATGCCCCCCACCATTCCCCTCATCCACCACCCCCCCACCCCAGGTAAGACCCCACCCACAGTTTGGTCTCATTTCCCAGGGCCGCCATTGGCTAGGCACCAAGTTTTCCAGAGCTCTGCTTGTGCAACGTAAATGGACCCATAAACCGCTGAGGTGAAGAGTCCTATGCCTGAAACAAAAAATACAAGGCCGTGAACAAACCCATTTGTTGCCGTAGCGACAGGAGTTGGGGGGGGTGTAATTTATGCACAGAGAATGGCAGAATAGCCCCGATGAGGCCAACTTCTTCCCCGACTGAGGATTCCCCAGCGCCGTTGTCGACAGGGCCCTCAGCTGGGTCCGACCCACCTCCAGCACTTCCACCCTCACCCCACCCCACCCCCCTCCCCCCAACAGCGATGGGGTCCCCCTCGTCCTCACCTACCACCCCACAGCCATCCACCTCCAGAGGGTCATCAGGCGTCATTTCCGCCACCTCCAGCGAGATGCCACCACCAGGGACATATTTCCCCTCCCTCCCTTATCCGCCTTCCGCAGGGACCGTTCCCTCCGGGACACCCTGGTCCACACTTCCTTCACCCCCAACACCTCCCCACAGCCCCACAGCACCTTCCCCCTGTAACTGCAGAAGGTGTAACACCTCCCCAGTATCCAAGGGCCCAAAACCAAAGTTTGTGACTTTACGCGTTTAATATATATTTTGCTTGCAATGAAATCACAGCGGCAGCCTCTCGCGAGTGTGTTCAGTTCTTGAACTGCACATCGGATCTCAAGTTACGACCAAATTCCCTTCCCACCTTGATCCTGTTTGACCCCACCAAAAAAAAACTGTGATTTCAGAACGAATGGCAGCTCAATCACAACCATCTTTAGTAGCATCATCGAGTCATACAGCACAGAAACAGACCCTTTGGCCCAACTTGTCCATGCCTGCTAGTTTTCCCAAACTGGGCTAGTCCCGTTTGCCAGCATTTGGCCCATATCCCTCTAAACCCGTCCTATTCATGTACCCATCCAGATGCCTTTTAAATGTTGTAATTGTACCAGCCTCCACCACTTCCTCTGGCAGCTCGTTCCATACACGCACCACCCTCTGTGTGAAACAGTTGCCCCTTAGGTCTCTTTCCCCTCTCCCCTTAAACCTATGTCCCTCTAGTTTTGGACTCCCCTATCCTGTAGAAAAGACCTTGGCTATTCACTCTATCCATGCCCCTCATGATTTTATAAACCTCTATAAGGTCACCCCTCCTACGCTCCAGGGAAAATAGCCTCAGCCTCTCCCTATGGCTCAAACCCTCCAGTCCCCGGTAACATCCTTGTAAATCTTTTCTAAACCCTTTCAAGTTTAACAACATCCTTCCTATAGCAGGGAGACCAGAATTGAACACAGTATTCCAAAAGTGGCCCTAACCAATGTCCTGTACAGCCACAACATGACCCTCCCAACTCCTATACTCAATGCACTGACCAATAAAGGCAAGCGTACCAAACACCTTCTTCACCGCCCTGTCTACCTGCAACTCCACTTTCAAGGAACTATGAACCCGCATCCCAAGGTCTCATTGTTCAACAACACTCCCCAGGACCTTACCATTAAGTGTATAAGTCCTGCCCTGA